TGGCTTTGTGAAGGGTAAGGAAGCAGATATAATTGCACATAATACAGCTAAAAGTTGCAAAACACAATGGCAATGATAAGTTATATCATTACATTCTGTTCAAGTTAATAAAAAGGATAAATAACGTTTTCGTGATTAAATGTTCTCCTTGATTAATATCTATACAGATTAAAGTCTCGATTTAAAGCTTTCGTGACTGCAGGGATTCATCTTCTTGGTTCTTTCGGTAAAGTCACGTAGAAGGGAAGTAATAAAATAATAAAAATAAAACATTATAAAATATTAAAAATAAAACATAATTAAATAATTCTCACGACGGCTGCTTGCGTTGTGGCCGAAACGTCGTGAGAATTATTTTATTTGGTTTTATTTTTATTATTTTATTACTTCCCTTCTACGTGACTTTACCGAAAGAACCAAGAAGATTAAAGTTTGTGATCCCAAACCTTCAAAGTAAACACTGCAAAGGACATTCTTGATTTTTGTCTTAATTGTTTGAATGGCAATGGACTTTGACCACTCTGGACCCAACAAATAAGGCAGAAAGTGCGCTGAAATTGTTACATTTTTAAAACCCTGCATTCATAAATGATGTATTTTTACAGCTGACCTGCTACATTAGTAACCTTGACACCTCTGATGAATTCAATATTTGATGGTGCCTAAATTGATGGAGTTGTATGGGAATACATTTTTTAAAAAGTATACAGTTCTATCGCATAAACCAGTGCACCCTAAAAAACAACTCAACTTTCGATTTAAAGCTTTCGTGACTGCAGGGATTCATCTTCTTACGTGACTTTACCGAAAGAACTAAGAAGAAAACAACTCAACTGCTGTATTTGAAACGTAAACTGTAAGCGTGAGTTCGATGAAACCGCCATGGGATATTTTTAATTGCAAGAAAAACGAAACAAGCAGCTCTTAATTTGTAGGGATATAAACATATGGGCTACGTGTTTCCATCTGTCAGAAAAAAAATAAGTTTTAAGCTTCAGTGAATGATTCTAAAAAAAAAAGTGAAATAACGTTCAGGCACACCACCCTGGAACGTTGGTGACATCACTACACACGATGTACGTATTCCATACAGGGATCTTAAAACAATTGTATTTATTCATTATTCCCCTCAGACTGCCCCAAGCACACAGCTGTAGGTGTTAAATAAGAGCCGCTTGATTTTTTTGGATTACATCTTCCTTTAGCACTGCCTATTGTAGCACGACACATCAGAAAAGGCCAACAACACAAAGACGAGGGATCTGTGCAGTGGAGAACAGCTTCAGGTTGGGTGGCCCTTGGCAATTCTGCCTTGGGGAAATGTAAAGATCGCCCCAACTGCACTCCGCCTTCTCCCCACAACAGCATTTCTGATTATTGCATTATTTAAAAAGGTCATGAGTCCTGGGAAATAAGCAAAGGGGCTGCACTGAAGGGAAGAAAAACAACAGCAACAACAACATAAACACAAGCTATATTCAGAAGGAACCAGGAAATATTTTATTCTGTTGGCGCAACCAGCTGCAAATACAAATACAGTCAGGCCACCTTCTCACAACGTAGTTGTTTAGAAAATGGTTATAAACAAAAGGCGAGGTGTTTTGTTTTACTCCCGCTGAATTGGATTCTTTAAAAAAAACATTTATTTTTAGTTGAAGGTTTTAAGAGTCAATTATCAATTCATGTTAGATTATGTTTCGGCAAAAGTAACTGTCTTTTTAAATGATCAGTTCCTATCTCCAAGTCAAAACGGTCTTGAGGAAGCATCATAGTGCTTGCTGATGTGTTGAGAGATTTATTGAGTTTTCTAGTGTGCTTTCATGGGTAGAGTTCTTGCTTCATGAATTAAAGTCAGGATTCACACAGCTGACCTGCCATGCCTGCATGGAATTCTTGACAGCTTCTCTTGAAGAAGGGTACAAGCATCGTTTATGATTGTACAGAGATGTAGATTCTGCCTCAGCCATCGGAAACCCATTCCATTTGTGACGTTACTTAAATGTGTATTTGAATCAAGCAGGACTAATCAAAGTGTATGATGGCTATGTGATTACCCGTGGGAATTCAGATTTCATTGGCCCAAAAGGAAGGAGAATTCAGGATTTACTACATAAACTGCAATGGTCACCACAACTATCAAACCTTTTTGCACAGGCGGGGATTCATTTTGATATTGGTTTTATGTAAAAAATAAGACACAGTAGTTGGCAATATCGGTGAGATATCAAATGGTGGAATAAACTACATAGGTGAGACTATAAAACTACTCGGTGATTGATTTTTATTAATATCATAACCTCACATTGTTTTCCATGATATTAAAGACCAAAAATACATGAATGCATTACTTTATTTTAGCAGGTCATGTATTTTACACATAAGTGGAACTCCCTAACCCACTGGCCTGCGGATTGGCTGGGAGATGGCAAAACGCCAAGTTCATTCAATCAATTTGTAGCTTTTGAATTTTAGCTCCTCATACATACGTGAGTTTTCTCCGGGCACTCCTGTTTCCTTCAAGATGCCAAACACTCCGTAATGTATTGGCCAAACATCCAAATATAGGACCATCCTAAAAGAGAGTACTACGACTCTGTGAGGCTTTCTTAGATAAACAAAAGTAATCACATTAAATATATGATCGTCAACACGTGTGCATCAATCACGTTATATATGCCACTGTTAAGTTTACTTTGGGGATTCATTTGCATGGTGAGTGTGCATTTATGATTGGTCAATATGTTTGTGAGTGTATAGATAAAATCTACATTAGGTATTTAGGTATTCAAATGTAAGTGTATTTGTACATTCCACAACAACTTTCAGTGCGATGGTTTCCGCTCATTGTTGAACCAGTTGAAATATTGCTTGCTGTCGTCACATTGTTTAACATCCGAGGACCAACACCTCGATTGTTTGTTTTTATTACCTGCAGAGGAAAGGAGGCTCCACCCAATACTGTTAACATTCATCACGATCTAGTCACAAGGTTTTTTTTTTAAACAATTAAATGAGAATATACTTTAATATTGGATATGGTACACACAAATTCATACATATACAGAGTGCTTCAAAATTTGTTTAACACTTATACGGGACTATCGTTTTTAATGGAAAAAGAACACTGTAACATGATAACAAATGTAATGTTAATCGCTTCAAAAAGTCAAAGAGTCTCCACTTGTTCGCCATCATTGTCAACGCGTGCCTGGAATCTTCTCCAGGTGGTCTCCAGAGCCTGGAGGCTCATTTCTTGTGATATTGTTGCAAATTCTCAGAAGTGTTAACATTTGTTTCAAGCACCCTGTATATTGTTCCGATAGTTTATACCTGATGAAAAGGCATTTCTATAATTACTCAAATGTTGGCTTTAAAACTGCTATTTGGATCTCAAAACGTTTTAAAGAATACAAAATTGCTTGGTTTGGAAAAATGCATTTCATATTACATGGGCTGTGTACATTGCAAGTAAATAATAATGTTGAATTATAATTTTTGTATTAAAAGAGTAATTTAAAATGTGCACTGTATCAATATATTCTATACTGTATATGTTCGAAGAATTATACATGGTATAACAATAATGACATGTTTTAGATTGTATGTGCTGCACAATGATAATTCAACTGCAAACGGCACAATCTTTCTGTACTTGCTTTTTTTATGTGATAAGAATTGTGGTTTATTTGAAGCCATGTGAGAATGTTAGGTTATAGCGCTTATATTAATAATGAGAGTATTGACCTGCTCAAGGAAGCAATGGTGTAGTGCTCTCGTCACTACTGGACATCTGTGAAAAGAGCTTTAAAGCTCATCGGATTCCTCCAGTCCAAATAAAAACTCTGATCTACTGGCCCTGAGCCAGCGATGGAAATTCCACATTTTCATGGTGTGGGCCAGTCTGTTTTTCATCAAATAAAAGAGTTCAATGACTGCATTGCACGGCGGCTGTCAACTTGATAAGAAGTGGTGGCCATTTTATTTACCCCAGAGGGATGTTACGCTGAGTTCACCGTTAACCGGCATTTCGTGGTTTAGCAGTCCTGTAATAATACTGTTAAAAAAAACAATTGCTCCACTGCAAAAAAAAACACGTTTTGAAATATGCTAAATTGTGCAAATGTACTTCTGAAACCACTTTAAATACCACAGTTGCACAAGCGATTAAGGTGTAACTCTGGACAATGTGACGTGTTTGTCTTTATAATAAATACACTTTTATTGGTCAATTTTATTTTCAGTAGCGTCACTATCCAGTGCGCAGGTGGTGCTCGTGCATCAGGGCCCATGGGTCAGTGGGGCCTTCATGTGCCGAGCTGCGGAGAGAGGCAGAAATTTAACATGGGGGGGAGGGGGGTCCATAATATTCATTGCACCAGGGCCCATGCCAAAGATGTCACACCACTGATTGTTGTTCCTAGACAGTGGTTACAGCATCGCTAAAAACATGAATGGCACTATAACTTGACAATATAATGATCTAGCAGCTGTATATGAGCACACCCGTCCGGAGCAAGGCCAGATGATGTGTGTACATCTCGAGTGGTACTTTTTCATCAGAAGTTGTCCTTTGACTTCCACCCACCAGCTTAACGTAAAGACGTCTTGCTTCTTATCAGAACTGTACTCATTATACAGAATCAAAATATGTATTTATACTGGAGGAATTTGATGAGCTATGAAGCTCCTTTTCACAGATGTCTAGTAGGGCAGATAATAACGTTACAACAACAAACAGTGCAAAAACACGATAGTAGTGTAAAGTACAAGAAAGGTAAACAAATCACCTACCACACATACAAATACAACTAAACGATCTCCATCCTACCAGGCAAAGACCACTGGGGTATCAACTTATATCACAGAAGCGACCTGGCCACAAATGATAGCTCAACAAAGTGGGCCGTAATTTGGACATTCATAGCACGGAAATAATCGAAATAATCTCAAAGCATATATTCATCTATTTGCTGCGACGCGTGTTCCCCATGGGCCGGCAGGCTGCGATGTCTGGTGAAACAGCTGGAGCGGGGAGAGCTGCCCGTCCTCGACCTCCGGAAGAACCTGGAGTACGCCGCTTCAGTGCTGGAGGCAGTGTACATCGATGAGACCAGGTCAGCTCGGGTGACCCTCAGTCATGGCTCTCTCTGCCCGTATGCTTGTTTGCATGTGTAGTGAGTTCCAGGGAGACTGACGACGGAGTCGAGGCACACTCTTTTATTCAACTCAAGGGCAGTAACAATACTTGAAGGGGTAACGGCCCCTTCACCCGTACTAGATGGGAAAACACCCCTAGCACTATTTCCCCTGTCCTATTCACAGTCCTCCTCTAATAGTGCTATGGGAGGCTATCTGATCCAGCCCTGGTAAAGTACGGATCCCGGCACCCAGCTAACCCGGCCTACTCTTACAAGAGCAGAGGTCCAGAAGCTTTTTGGGGCCGCACCACTGGCTTGCCCTGCTCGGCCCTGACAAGGGCAGCGAGACAGGGGAGTCCCAGGGCCTATTCTGCCAGTCTTCAGACTTCACTGGTAAGCTTCTTCCACACTGGCCCCGAGCTCTCTGGCTCCCTGCCTTTTATAGGAATCCCCTCCGAGGGGTGGAGTTATGGGGGATCACAGCGCGCCCATGGCCGCCCAGGGTTAACGGATGCGGACGTGGATGTAGACACCCGTGTGTGGGTGCAGACACCCTTGTGTTTTCTGTCCGCCCTTCTCCCCGTACTACCTGCGTGTGATTGGATGCCTGTGTCTGTCCAACTGTTATGTGCTTACATGCATGTATGTCTGACCAGATGCATACGTTTGCCTCATTGCATGCCTGTCTCAGGCTGTCCGTTCATTTGCCGTCTTGTCTGTCATCATTATTATTATTACCCTCGTCTCGATATGAATGTCAGGCTGCCAGGCTGCCATCTGCCTTTTGTGTACTGCCTATTTGTTGCAAATTATCCTTGGAGATATGAACCTTATGGCGGGACCCCGGGGTCCCGAATAAACCGAAGTAAAAAAAAAACGTAAATAAATTATTTATTTCTGGCGACTCCGTCCCACCGCGCACATAAACGCCACGACCCACCAGAAATCAATCCTCTCGTTCTTCACCAAGCACCCGTCGTTGCCAAAATTGCCGTAGTCATACACAAAACGTTGAAACTTTGATTGGCGCATCGTGTAGAGCTCGTCGAGAGGAATAGATCGTCGCATCGTTCGCCTTCAACAGACATAAAATGACGTCGCAACGCAGTTCATGCGAGAACCGGGGGCTCATGGGACCCCGGGGTCCCGCCATAAGGTTCATGTGGCTACGGGTCCAGAAGGGATCCTCCCCTTAGTTCGTTATCTGGTAGTGATATCATAATACACAAAACTCTACGCTCAGGACACCGTCCAACATTCTTAGCGGCAGAGAGGAAAAAGCGGAAGACGCCGTTAACATTTCCCAACACTGCCCAGGAGGGACGTGATTTAGATAAGGAATTATATCTCTTGCCCCTTATTGTGCATTTGTCAGCTTAGCTGAATGGGAAACCCTTCTGCCTGCCTAGGTGCCGAGATAACCAATGGCCGTAAACGCAAGCAGCACGACCCTCGGGCATGAGACTCCCTCAGATTGGCCATCCAGTGCGGGGACAATGTAATGTCCATTGCATTCATCTATATATATAAAATCGTTCATGTCTGTCTGTCTGTGTGTGTGTGTGTGTGGACTTTGGCCCATACGCACTTTCATTGGACGGCGGTTGCCCCTGGCAACGGCTAGCCACGCCTTCGCCGCTTTCATTGGACCTGGCAACGGCTAGCCACGCCTTCGCCAAGGGCTGCAGTTTCATTGGACGGCGGTTGCCCCTGCCAACGGCTAGCCACGCCTTCGCCACTTTCATAAGCTCCGTATTTAATTAAATAATAGCCATTACACAGTATTGTTGGAGCGCTAGGGGGGGGGGAAGGAACGCCACCCGTACCCTGCCTCTTCCAAGCCGACAATTTTAGGCGAGGCCGCAGGCTTTGCACGCTACTAGGCCTCGACACCCACCACGCCACTCTGAGGTAAATTCATCAAAGTTTTTCCTACTCTTCACTACACCCCCACCACAATGTGTGCTATTAATATTACTTTTAAACCCAACGCGCCAACAATCGATTACTTTAATGTTCACTGTACAAATACTCATTAAGCTGGGTGAGCGTACTGCCAGTCTATCATGTACACTCTAGCCTGCTTATGAAGCTGAGTGCGTGTACTGGCAGTCTATAATGTGGACTCTTGCCTGGTTATTATAATCGATTCTTTATATGTTCTTTGTACAAACAGTCATTAAGCTGCTTGAGCGACCCCAGTTCGATTCCAACTCACGCCCACCACCGCTGACGGTTATTTGAAACGGACCTGGCCCTCCCCTAGGTCCACTCAGCCTCAAAAGCGTAACTGCTGTCGTGTGTGAACATCGTCACTGGGGAGACAAAGGCGGCGGGGCATCGTGGATCCAAGTCCCGGGCGAAGCCGGGTCATGTGTATGTGTGTTTGTGTTTATGTGTATGTCTGTGTGTCTCTATGTATGTGTGTATGTATGTGTATGTATGTGTTTGTGTGTATGTGTGTGTGTATGTATGTGGGTTTTTTTTTATGTCTTTATGTGTATGTCTGCGTGTCTCTATGTATGTGTGTATGTACGTGTGTGCATGTGTTTGTGTGTATGTATGTGTGTGTCTATGTATGTGTGTGTATGTGTGTGTATGTATGTGTGTTATGTGTCTGTCTGTGTCTGCATGTATGTGTGTGTATTGTGTATGTGTTTGTGTGCATGTATGTGTGTGTTTGTGTGTATGTGTATGTCTGTGTGTATGTGTTTGTGTGTATGTGTGTGTATTTATGTGTGTGTATGTGTTTGTATGTGTTTGTGTGTTTACGCTCGCATTACACAAATGTGTTGCTGGTCTAAGGCGTTCCTCGCACAGCATTGCCGCTTTATTATTTCAGTCGTTTACTGCCTTACGCACCCTGAAAGTCGTGTGTGTCTGCAGCAAGCGCATGTATGTGTACCTATGGACGCGCGCGCGTGTGTTGTGTAGGGGGAACGGTAGTGTAGTGCTTAGCGTGCTGTCTGTGTCTGTGTGTGTGTGTGTCTGTCTGTGTCTGTCTGTGTGTGTCTGCGTGTGTCTGTGTGTGTGTCTGTGTGTGTGCGTGTGTGGTGTGTGGGGAGCGGTAGTGTAGTGCTTAGCGTGCTGTCTGTGTGTCTGTGTGTGTGTGTGTCTGTCTGTGTCTGTCTGTGTGTGTCTGCGTGTGTCTGTGCGTGTGTGGTGTGTGAGGAGCGGTGGGTGTAGTGCTTAACGCTACGCTGCGCTACCAACCCGGCGAACCCAGTTCCATTCCCGCTCACGGCCACCACCGGTGACGATTATTTGAACCTCCCCTAGGTCCACTCAGCCTCAAACGAGTAACTGGTGTGGCGTATTAACATCGGCACTTGGGAGACAAAGGCGGCTGGGCGTGGTAGATCCAAGTCCCGGGCGAAGCCGGGTCATGTGTATGTGTTTATGTGTATGTCTGTGTGTCTGTATGCATGTGTGTATGTATGTGTGTGTATGTGTTTGTGTGTATGTCTGTGTGTGTATGTATGTCGGTTTTGCCGCCGTGGTGGATCCAAGTCCCGGGCGAAGCCGGGTCATGTGTATGTGTTTATGTGTATGTCTGTGTGTCTGTATGCATGTGTGTATGTATGTGTGTGTATGTGTTTGTGTGTGTGTCTGTGTGTGTATGTATGTCGGTTTTGCCGCCGTGGTGGATCCAAGTCCCGGGCGAAGCCGGGTCATGTGTATGTGCGTATGTGTTATGTGTATGTCTGTGTGTCTGTATGCATGTGTGTATGTATGTGTGTGCATGTGTTTGTGTGTATGTATGTGTGTGTGTATGTATGTGGGTTTTTTTGTATGTGTTTATGTGTATGTCTGCGTGCCTGTATGTATGTGTGTATGTACGTCTGTGGATGTGTTTGTGTGTATGTATGTGTGTGTCTATGTATGTGTGTGTATGTGTTTCTGTGTTTGTATGTGTGTGTATGTATGTGTGTTATGTGTCTGTCTGTGTGTCTGCATGTATGTGTGTGTGTATTGTGTATGTGTTTGTGTGTGTTTGTGTGTTTACGCTCGCATTACACAAATGTATAATGCGGGTCTAAGGCGTTCCTTACACAGCATTGCCGCTTTATTATTTCAGGTCGTTTACTGCCGTATGCACCCTGAAAGTCGTGTGTGTCTGCAGCAAGCGCGTGTATGTGTACCTATGGACGCGCGCGCGTGTGTTGTGTAGGGGGAACGGTAGTGTAGTGCTTAGCGTGCTGCCTGTGTCTGTGTGTGTGTGTCTGTGTGTGTGTGTCTGTGTGTGTGTCTGTGTGTGTGTCTGTGTGTGTGCGTGTGTGGTGTGTGGGGAGCGGTAGTGTAGTGGTTAGCGTGCTGTCTGTGTGTGTGTTTCTGTCTGTGTGTGTCTGCGTGTGTCTGTGTGTGTGTCTGTGTGTGTGTCTGTGCGTGTGTGGTGTGTGAGGAGCGGTGGGTGTAGTGCTTAACGCTACGCTGCGCTACCAACCCGGCAAACCCAGTTCGATTCCCGCTCACGGCCACCACCGGTGACGATTATTTGAACCTCCCCTAGGTCGACTCTGCCTCAAACGAGTAACTTAACTACTGTAGCGTATTAACATCGCCACTGGGGAGACAAAGGCGGCCGGCCGTGGTAGATACAAGTCCCGGGCGCAGCCGGGTGGTACAGCTAGTTTACTTCATAAAGATGCACGCTCATGCCTTATAAGACGATAATTCACTTTCATTTCTTGCAACCTTACGTGCCACCATGAACGGTGTGTGGAATGTAATCGTCGTTTCGGCATCCTTACCCTGTTTCCCCCCATTCTCCGAACGCCTTGGAGGTAAGCAAGAAATACTTTGAAGGTTGATGTGCTTGTTTTAATAAGCGGGATTGCCAGTTTGTTCTTAGCATTAAAGATGTTCGGACGACGTTAGTGTAGTGCTAGGACAAAGGGTGAGGTTCCAGGTTAATTAAGTGTTCATGCGCATTAAAATCAAGAGACTCTATTGCAGTCACGCGATAGCACCAAGCATATTCTTTAAGGTCAATTGTTATTTCTCACCATCAATAGGTGAGAACTATTTTTGGTTGACAGCGCTATCTGCTCTGTGCATGACTAATGCTCTACGGCAGTTGGAGTAAATTAAGTCCGCTGCCTGCACCTGCACTTGATTAGACACACTTTCAGTGCGTTTTACAGAGGCAAATGGCACGGGGAGTTTTTGCCTGCTCAAATTGCACACCACAATGAATGCGTTTCTATTTCAAAGCGGTGATACATCAACTCCGAGCTCCCTACAATTAAATTGCACAATACGATGCAAGAATGAGATCATTACCCATGAAAGTACAAAGCTCCAATTTTCAGTTTCACCCACTGTATTGGCATGTGTGATTTGTATATATTTAAACAGTTTTAACCAAAATTTTGTTCGTTTTTATTATAAGATCTTGTTCACAGTCAACGTGACTAATTTTTCATGCGTTGATTTGTTTAATTTCAATATATGGGTGGTGCTGTTAGTTGGACAACTGCACTCAGAAATCAGAAGCCAAAAACACACACCGAAGTTGTCATTGACACTGCTGCAAAGCAGATAGATATATAGTAAACTAACGTTTTGAACAATTACTGCTAACATACTACCTTTGCATGTCTCGCCATTGGTAGAATTCACGAGTTAAATTCTTGGTCAGAAATTGACCCAACGCTTCATCCCTCTAGTATCAATAAAGCAGACACCACTTTGTGGGAGGTTAACATAAGTTATTTTATCGAGACTTGCCCCAGCCACAGGAATGTGTAATTTCCCACAGGAATGAGTTCCACCCCAATGCACGTCCATTTGAGACTGGATATTCTTTTAGTTTGTCATCAGTGAAAATTATAATTGTTAATTTCCCTAAGAAGCTATAAAAATGTATTTTGAGACAATCATTATTAATGTACTTAATATTTTAACCACATTTGTATGGGTAGAGTGGTGGTAAAGTGGTTTTGCGTACTGCGCTGTGAACCTGGTCACCTGAGTTTAATTCCCAGTCATGGATAACACCGGTAGCAAGTGACACGAATCTGATCCTTTCAAAAACCCACAATGACCAACTTGGTGAAGAATTGTTAAAAAGGAAACCCATGACCCGCATGACATAGAGAGGCCATCATCCATTGGTCAATTGAGAATGGTTCTAATGTATTTCAAATACAAATAATATGGCGGGCTGTTACCTACCCTGCCTGGTATACAGGAGGTTGTGGGTTCGATCCCGACCCTGACACCTTTATATTTGGAGTTTGCATGTTCTCTGCGTGGTCGTGTGAATTTTTCTCCGGGTCCCCCAGTTTTTCCCATCACATTTAGAAATATGAATAATTTTTCTTATTTGGCTGCTAAAACAAGCCACATTTTTGAGCTTTCATTTGTGGTCAGGTTGCTTCTAAAAAAATAGCTAAATAGCTCAGTAAGCCTTACCTGGTAAAATAACAAAAAACATCGTTCCATGTCACAGTTCAGTATACGGTACACGGTGAAACAAAAGTGGTACGCACGCAGAAATCATAACGCTTGTTCACAGTTCTAAACCCTCGCTCCACAGCAAGTGTCGATGCCTAATCAGAAGACAGCGAGCGCCACGAGTCAGCTGCTGCCCTTGCTGCTGTGCCCACAGGCGCCTGCTGGACACAGAGGACGAGCTGAGCGACCTGCGCTCGGACACAGTGCCCTCAGAGGTGCGCGACTGGCTCGCCTCCACCTTCACGCGCCAGATGGGCCTCATGCTGAAGCGCTCCGAGGAGAAGCCGCGTTTCCGCAGCATCGTGCACGCGGTGCAGGCCGGCATCTTCGTTGAGAGGTTCGTGGTGCCCACCGAGCCCCCCCCCCGATCCCCCCCCCCCCGATCCCCCCCCCCCCGATCCCCCCCCCCCGATCCCCCCCCCCCGATCCCCCCCCCCGACCCCCCCCCGACCCCCCCCCCGATCCCCCCCCCCCGATCCCCCCCCCGATCCCCCCCCCCGATCCCCCCCCCCGATCCCCCCCCCCGATCCCCCCCCCCCGATCCCCCCCCCCCGATCCCCCCCCCCGATCCCCCCCCCCCCCCGATCCCCCCCCCCCGATCCCCCCCCCCCGATCCCCCCCCCCCGATCCCCCCCCCCCGATCCCCCCCCCCCGATCCCCCCCCCCCGATCCCCCCCCCCCCCGATCCCCCCCCCCCGATCCCCCCCCCCCCCCCCCGATCCCCCCCCCGATCCCCCCCCCCCGATCCCCCCCCCCGATCCCCCCCCCCGATCCCCCCGCCCCCCCCCGATCCCCCCCCCCGATCCCCCCCCCCGATCCCCCCCCCCGATCCCCCCCCCCCGATCCCCCCCCCCGATCCCCCCCCCCCGATCCCCCCCCCCCCGATCCCCCCCCCGATCCCCCCCCGATCCCCCCCCCCCGATCCCCCCCCCCCCCGATCCTCCCCCCCCCCCCCCGATCCCCCCCCCCCCGATCCCCCCCCCCGATCCCCCCCCCCGATCCCCCCCCCCCGATCCCCCCCCCCCCGATCCCCCCCCCCCGATCCCCCCCCCCCGATCCCCCCCCCCCGATCCCCCCCCCCCCGATCCCCCCCCCCCCGATCCCCCCCCCCCCGATCCCCCCCCCCCGATCCCCCCCCCCCCGATCCCCCCCCCCCCCGATCCCCCCCCCCGATCCCCCCCCCCGATCCCCCCCCCCCCGATCCCCCCCCCCGATCCCCCCCCCCCGATCCCCCCCCCCCCGATCCCCCCCCCCCGATCCCCCCCCCCGATCCCCCCCCCCCGATCCCCCCCCCCCCGATCCCCCCCCCCCCGATCCCCCCCCCCCCGATCCCCCCCCCCCGATCCCCCCCCCCCCGATCCCCCCCCCCCCCGATCCCCCCCCCCCCGATCCCCCCCCCCCCCGATCCCCCCCCCCCGATCCCCCCCCCCCGATCCCCCCCCCCGATCCCCCCCCCCCCCCCCCCCCCGATCCCCCCCCCCCCGATCCCCCCCCCCCCGATCCCTTTCTCATCCCGATCCGTCGAGGTCCGGCCCCTGCCTCGGTGCGGCTTCGTCTGCTCTTGCTGCTTTGTCCCCTCCCGTGCCCGCTGCTGGTGTGCGCCGAGATAAATGCTGCCTCTCGAGTGGCTCAAGCCTCCAATGCACCATTTCATACCCAATGCCTCTTTAAATATACATCACGCTGAAAGCGGAGGCTGTTATCGCTCATTACACTTGCACACAAATATCCCCTGGTTTGTTTTTTTTGACACATACACACCGCACATACTTAGATCCCCCCGTACAATATTGTCTTTTCAAGACCGTTGGGCCAAATGCTGTTCGCGAGCGCCTGTTAAGGTCTAAACATGCTCCACGAGGTGGTTGTGTTGCCAGCACGGTACTCGATCACCGTTGAAATTCCCATGACTAATGTTATAACAACAACAACACTTGTTGTTCACCTCCAAGTGCCGGTGACATCACCACAGTGCCTGTGCCAGGCTAGGTGCACTTTGAGGCCATGTGAAGTGTCGAAGGCTCGCTGGTAGGAGGTCACGGGACAGACCCAGGTGCCATGGGTTGACTGACTGACAACTTTCTTCATTTTATCCGCCCGGCGCTCCACTCATTGTTATGAGCATCGCTCCTCCGTCCTCCGTTGTTGTTAGAGGGCGACTGCATCCAACTGCCCAGTAACAGCGTCCTTCACGAGCCTCCCCCATACTGATGTTACACGCATACACTCACACACCACAAGGATAACTACGCGTTATAAATAGATATCATTTACTCTCTTCGATCATTGCGTACTTTACAGTAGGCTGCATAAACACTGACAAAAAATGTGCCAAAGGCACAACGTTTATCATTAACACTGCCCTCTACACGTAATGGAAATTATATTCTAGCTCACATTTTGGTGCAAAGGCTGTCTCTGTTCATCGTCGAAAAAGTCAACCTACTCTATATACGTTTCAATTTTAAGACACTGTTAATAATGGACATTGGTGAATTTTTTTTGTCGTTTAACCTTGAATGTGCTTCGCTAAAGTCATCTGCATCACAGTACTGCAGATTTTCTGCATTCCATGTCCCTGCTTCATACAAATGGTACAGGTCAGTTACCGTGGGGGCAATGATGCATTTACAAGCCCAGCATGAAATAAGACTTCCAAATTCAACACCCGAGTCTTGTGAATGCCCACCCTGTGCAGGTGCAAGTGTGGGATTTTTTTATTTGCAGCTGTCATATACTTGGAATGTACTCTGCCCTTGCGAGGGCGACATAGCTATAATGTCACATGCACACGTATTGATTACGTAATGTTTTTCAGTGACAATGGAAAAGCCTTATTGATTCAAAACTATTGGGTTTTTTAAATTATTCATCGTGGCCAATACACCATGTTTAATTAGAAATAAAACAATAGCAGGCCCTTTAAAAAGAAACATATTTCACATTCAGTCACCCAAAAGGTAGTACTGTCGTTTAGGAAAGCCAATTTCAGATAAGTTAAGTGATAATAAAACATGGAACTTAAATACATTCTTATTCTTGGATTTTATTTCTGCCCCACCCCCCCCCAACATCGGATCAGTAAAACCACAATATCCTTAGACTGAGAGAGAAAACATCATCAAATATCCGTTTGAGTCTCGTTCAGCAAAGGTCTTTCACGCAAATCCATACTTTATTTGGATCAGACCTGATTAATTGCTGTGTTGTATAAGAGAGATTATGATTAATCATCCTTAAGAGCCCATTATTGCAATATAAAACAAGCTGTATGCATCATAATAAACATTTGTTTTCTTTTTTATGTTGACTTTCCAGGGATAAACACTTGATAAACATAGATTTTTACATATTGTGATTCCAGATTAAAATACATAACTTGATGTCGTTAAACTTGACTTTCCTTTTAAAAATTTATTTTCAATAAGTTGCAATGCTTGAACAGATGATGTATTTAATTGGTTTGTCTGAAGGGGTTTAATCATGTTGTTATTGATTTAAGTGTCAAGTTGTCAGATGTTCACAGTATTTCTCCAAGGAACAAACTATATCTTGCGGCATCTGTGCAGACATTTGTTGGTAAAAGTAGCAGTAATGTTGAGCAAATTAAATTGCTGTTGGCAGTTTTATTTTATAGTTCCTTAAAAAATGTACGTCCAAACTTTTCAAGGATTGAGGAAATTCCAATCAAAAGTTGCGCTTTTGAGAAATTATGTCTTTTAACTGTAAGTGTTTAATTCACACAGACAATGTCACAGACAATTCTATTCTTAGCCGCAAATGTAAAATTCTACATTACAAAAACATTTTTAATGACATGTTCTGGACTCCTATCTATTCTGGACTTGTATGTCAATTTCTTTCATTACCAAATGCACTTCAACATACGATGCATGTGTTGGGGGGGGGCAAGGGGAGAATAAATTGAAGAATAAGAATTATGAAACAATTAAAACAATGTTTAAAGATGCCATCTGTCATGCACGCGTATTTCATCAACACAATTTCTAAGTGCCGGCACACCCATTGATTTGCTCACATTATCGCAATGAGCAGCCTCAGCTGCATGTCATATATCAGCAACCAGGCGCACAGAGAGCCCTGTGCTACTCACCACCAAGAGAGAATCGATGGCAAGGCTGATTGACAGAGTCGGCAATGCAGTGAACCCCAGGTGTGCTACGCCACCCCCTCTCCTACCCACCCCGCCCGGGCCACCCCCCAAAACGATGCGTACTGCACTGCGGTGGTCGATGATCTAAGGGCTTCATTGCATCTCCCTTGTGACACTTTTGGGCCATGGAGAGTTGCTTGAGACCCCCTTAAGATTCAAATACTGTGATGATTAAGTGAGGCCCATCTGTGTGCCACGCGACGTATGGTCCTGTAACAGCGCTGTAACTAACAGGGGGCTGGTGAGAGGGGGGAGACTCGAGGGATGCGAGGCCTTGCTGCTGGTCATCGTCTTTTTGGGGGATGGGAACACTTGAAGGAGGTGCACTGTAGCTGCATGGGCTGCTTGCTTGCAAGCTGTCAGACTATTGGCTGCATCGCCCGTAGGGTGAGAGTGCTCTTGTAAGATGTTTGTTTACAATGCACGAGCAGACCACTGTTACTTTATTTGCTTACTCCTGTGCGGAAAAAAATGCTGCTCATGTAGCCAGTTTTATCGGTCTCCACAAATCTTGGATGTGTGAGAAAAAAAGTACTCGTGGTTTTGTAAAGAGTACTGGAGTTGATTACGACCGGTCTGGCTGGAGCCGATACATTTTGTTTGGTGTACTTATGCTGTTGTCGTACGGAACATATATTCATACAGACATTTACATCATGAAAATATATCTTTTATGTGAGAATATTTAGCTTATGTATAGAATATGCTCGAGCGTATATTTTGTTATTGTTTTAGGTGATACATTTTATTTTGTTTGACTTTGACAATATTTTCTGATTGCTTTTCCATATGAGAATTAAAATATAGAGGGTAGATATGTATCTTGTCATTTAGGATTTAGTTCGTGCTTTAACAACATTAACTCAATGCTCAAGGGAGTGGTAATACATGCTCCAAATTCTTGGCAAAGATATGCAAAGCTTTTTTCTTTAACTTAATTTTAAAACACTTAAAGCAATGGGACAGCGAGCCCGTTCCCCATCTATCCCCTGATTTCCATACCCGGTTTGGCTTATGTTGACGGTGTGTATTTGCGTCACAATGTGATGTAACAGGCCCGCAGATTGCCTCAATAAAATTAAATATTAAAAAAAAACACTTAAAGCAGAAAGGCAAAATGCAGTATGGAAATTATGTCTGCATTGTACCCAGATTGGTTGTTACTGGACCAAAGTCGCGACAATTTAAATTTTATGGGGAAAAAAAACATGAACCATGGTGAAATAGAATGTTTTCACAAAGTTCAAACTATTTAAGCATACTCTGTTTATTAGCTGGGGAAAAGTAAAACCACGCTCGTACATCTTGATAATAAAACATTTAACAACTGCACTTTTATCCAACAACATATGAGTCTTGCCTCGATAATGCCAACATATTGGGTGTCTTGTGCTGCTCTTGCCGTGCTGTAGAATGTACAGACGAACATCCAGCATGGTGGGACTCAGCTATCCCCCAGCAGTCATCTCTGTCCTGAAGGTGAGAGCTACAATTTGTCGCCGTGAAAAAAAGAAACCACTCCAAGATCTCCTCTTTCTAACGAATTATTCCAACGCCATTTTTTTTTACTTTGGCAAAAACAACCCGACAGGTCAAAGTATTCTATTACCAATCTACATTTAGGAACCTTTAAACTAAAATATGCGGTACACCTATGACCATATTACCATCATGTGCCTGATCGCATCAGAGACTAAGTAAGGTTTTCAGCCTGGATCGTACTCGGATGGGTGACCACCATGCGCACAAGAGAGGTGTAATCGGCATTGTGGACTGCAGAGGACAGGACACCGATATTCCATCGTCGCTGTGCACTCCTTCGACCTTCACCAACCTGCACGCTCGCCAGCGTGGTGAAGTATGGCCAAATATCCCTCATGGCCCCGCCAGGTGTGGGGGGACAGGAATTGACAACATGTGCCATACATTTACGTGATACAGCATGTGAACTACCACATTGACAGACAATAAATGGCCCATGATGCCACAGGATCTTTTAAACATAATTAAGGCCAAACGACACACGTTCAAATTTGTCACAAAACTGAGTGCCAATTTTAACAATCAAGTCAATGCAGACTATCTCGGTGTTAGAGTTAGAACCTAGTAACCTTTTGGCTATGCAGCCACTGAGTAATATCTTTGTGTGTGATTATTTTGTTCTAAAGTTTCACAAGGAAATTATATATCCACTTATGTAAACGTGTTTCTATGTTGTTCTGCTGAACTTCAATTAATGTTTCCCTGCAAGCAATGTGATATATGTAGTTTAAAAATGTATCCTCTGTATATCCTATTTCCTATTTATACTCCATTTCTTCAATTTATTGTCAATTCATCACTCTGTCAGTCGTAAATGTTGTGTTTTTTCCTAAGTACATGCCATTCACATTTGTATTTACGTTGTTCTGACACGGCCAGTGAGGTGAGAAGGAAAGGAGAGAACTTCATACACGTGAAGAGTCGCAACGTTTTCTACAATAGAGGGAGAAATTACACTAATTATAGTGGAAGTGGATTCTTAGTGTCTCCTTGCATCAGATGCGAGAGCTTTAGGGTTCAAAATTTAATTGGATGGAGTTGCTCAGCTTACACTAATCCTCTTGAATCACTAAAAGATAAAGATCAATCAAATATAGGAACAAACAACACGCATCGATGATGAAGGAGAGCAAATGTACGATAACACTTCGTTTTTGGCAGAATATGCAAAAGAAAGCATAACCTGACTGCGGTTATTTAATTGATGTGTCATTGTGTGTCGTTATCGTTCATCAATTATGTCTGTTAAAATAGGAGAATGCCGTCTGTTAAAACCATCACACCGCAGTTGGTTGGCCTTGTGTATTTCGGGAACTTTGGTGTAAGACATTAATGAAAGTATGTATGTATACGTCCCATTACCCATTGAATGGGAAGAAAATTAAATGATGGGTATATTTCAGTTGTCAATGTAACTGTACCGAGTTGTGTTCGTGGTGACAGTGTTGCCTGAGATGTCATTGAGCTTCACACATAGAGGAGATATTTCTTGAAATTACTGAGGGATTCGACTGGAACCTGAAGTAATTATACATTTTTTTGCTTGAGTGTCAACTGTAATGCCCTGTATTATGAATATGCAAACATCTTTTCTACTAAGGAATAATGTAGTTTAAATGTGTTTCCTAGCATAAATATGCAAGGTCCTGGCATAGATTCCACTGTTTATTGTCATTGAGAATGATGTGTATGTCCATCCCGTACCAGGTTATAATTTGTGTGCATGAAGAATGTGCAGTGGTTGTAATTATATTAGTCAAAGTGCACAGTTACTAATGATTGGAGCACATGACTTAATAATAACAACTTCATGTTTTAAATGTGTTTCTGATAATATACATCACGTTCAATTGAGCTAGCAAAGCAAAAAAAGATGACACAGTACCGTCTTAAAGAGGGTCGTTTATATATGACACATTGATAAATAAGCGTTTATCTATTACATTGAATAATCAGCTGCTGTTCATCCACCATTGGATGACAGCCTGCCCATGCCGTGCCCATTCTTACCTGGTCCTGTGATGCCAGACATCCAAACGACCAGTCAATAAATGTTACAGTAGCTATAAAGAACCCTAACCGCAGGTGGTTGCCAAATAACAACATTTACAGTTTAAAGAATGCATCCGTCATTGGGATCACTGTGTAAGGATGCATTGTGTGCCATGTGTTTTACTTCCCAGGAAGTAGACAAGTGGTCCTTTGATGTGTTTGCACTGCACGAGGCCAGTGGTGAGCACGCCCTCAAGTTCATTGTGTATGAGCTCTTCACCAGATATGACCTCATAGCGCGATTCAAGGTGAGCCAATTCTAAAACAAAACTATAGATTTTTTTTTATACCAGGAAAGGCCCACTGAGATGTATAGAAGCGACCTGGATTATCGAAGTGGCTTATTGGGTGTAAATGTACAGCATCCAAATAATATCAACGTATGTTGATTCTAAATGTGGAGGGGAAACCAGAGGACTCGGATAAAAATCCACATAACCGCAGGGAGAACATGCAAACTCCAAATATACAGGCGTCAGGGTCTAGATGGAACTCACCACCTCCTCTATACCAGGTGAGGCAGGTAACATCTCGCCGCCGTGGCACCCCCAAATTCCAACCAGACCTGCCAGTGATGTCTGAATGAACACCATCAAAGCTGTCCCTTCATTACAATCACTGGCAAAGGTGTATACAAAAGTAACCATATTTTAATTTTAGATCCTATCGGTCTCTTTGTAAATGCCTCGAAGGCCTATATTTTACATGGGAGCGGTGAAAAAGTAAGAGTAAATGTTTCCCAGACAGGGATGAGGCATAATGAACGCGCCAGTGGGGGGAACATCGCTTGAAGCCATACACGTCACAGGGGAAAATGACAACAGTGAGTGATGGTGCAATTCGCGGTGGCGTGACGTGTCACGCTATGCCGAAGCGAGCGGTAACATTTCTCCAAAGGACATCTGAGCCCAGCACATGAATTAAGGACCATATTGATTAATTCATATTCCGGGCCAGAGTGATAAGCATTTAGACAATTAATGCCTGGCAGCTTCAGGTTACGGTAATATGCTCTTCATCTGTATGAATTACATATAATGGCAACATTGCATGATGTATGAAATGTGTCATTTCAGGGTGGCCCTTATATTTCAAAATACGGTTTACGATTGTCTCTTGTTTTTGAATTATGCATGACCTTTAAATTGTAGCCAAATTGAAGGATATGTAGGAGTCGCTACCATGGTATTTATTTTAAATATGGACCACCCTAACGTTTTTATGTTGAACTCCTTTCGCACCGTACGTAGCCAACTGTGCTAATGGGAGGTGCGGAATGTGTATGGAATGTAACTGTTTCACAGATCCCTGTGTCGTCTGTGGTGTCATTTGTGGAAGCTCTGGAGGCTGGATACAGCAAGCACAAGAACCCCTATCACAATTCGGTCCACGCAGCTGACGTCACCCAGACTGTGCACTACCTGATGCTCAAAACGGGCACAATAGTAAGTGTGTTACTCTCGATCATTTACAATTACACTCTCGTCTGGTGTGCTGTGAATGTTAGGGCAACAGCTTTTGCGTTGTTGTAAATACTCAACAATAGACTTCTGTGCTCACATCTTTGCCAAAACCGCACTGACCAGCGTGGTGATGTGTGGTCAAATAACACCCGCAACACGCACGGCATGAGGAAGCCCTCATCCAGCAGTGGATTGGCAGAGGGCTTTACATGTACATGCAGTACTGCATGTACGTACCGTGTATGTTTATGTCAACACAACACAATACATACAAAACATAAACAAAAATGTGAGTAGTCTATGATGATTTGGCTTGTGAACAATGACAACTCCTCATGCCACACAATGATAATTGGTTCTCCCTGAAAAATAAACATCAGGATGCACGTTTATTTTCGAAAATGTAAACCCTGACATTGATGAATAGAATACAGTTCACCTAGTACACTTTATATCATGTTAAAGATTAGAATTGCTCTGCGTAGATATTTGTGTGATATTTGATTTGTAAAATGGTTCAATTATTTACACATATACTTTTACCCTCAATAATGTGCACCCCCATCAGGCTGTCTGCTCACTTTGCACGTAATAACCAAATGCATGCGGATCACGTGCAAATGCTGCTGTAAGCCTTTCCGTAATGCCCGATCGACGCCAGTGTTCACTCTGTCATATTAACACTACGCTTGAAAAAGAATCAGGTTGGCAGAGCCACTGTGCTATTGGTGGAAATTTCAAAAGGGGACAAAAGAATGGTTTAGTGCGGTGTAATTAAAAAGCCTGCAGTCCATTACAATACCATAGCCCTAAAGGAAGTGTAGGGAAATTATAAATACATGTTTCGCGTGCCATTGAAATTTACCTTACAGCACGGAACCATTACGAGATTCACAGTGCCTGTCATTTTTTTGTTCCGGAATGTAAGGGCTTTATGTGAACCATACATTTTTGTTGGAGCAGCAGTGGTGGCTGGGAAGTTGTGTATTGCTTGCTGTGCTGCATTTTGTGCCTAGAAATAGGCAGCTGGGTCTGATTGGTTTAAAGCTATGGGGAGTAGATTGTTGTATCAGGACAAATTTATACTGGTCCTTGTTAGCACATTCGCTGGGTCAGAAAGGGATACAATTTAGGTGCGCCAGACCAAAATGAAAATTGTGTGTGCTATATTCATATTAATAAAGCAAGCATTTGCATTTAAATTAAGCATTTCATACTAAACCCCCAAGGCTTCAGAAGTGGCCAGGTGGCTCAGAGGTCAAAGGGCTGAGCTGGCACTGCTGGGTTTGAATCAGGGCAGCAGCCTGTGATTATAAGTGGGATCTTAAGTGATGGGAGTTGATGTCTCAGCCCAGTTGCCAATGACTGCTCAAACTAACCATAATATTACATTCGGTTTGATTTGTCTATATTCCAGCCATGAGAATTAAAAACTATTGGTTTGACCGTAATGCAACAATCTCTTAGAAGAGTGCATGGGAAAGTGTGTCCCCTACTGTGCAAGGGATAAACATTGATTTTTAATGAAAGTTTCAGACGTGTGTTGTTTGACACCTGGGGCACACTGCTACGTGATATTTCTACATTTATTATTTTTCTCTGGACATGATACAGTTCATACAATTAGAGAAATTTGGGCGGAAGAAGACAAATGCAATTAAACCTACACACTTCAGAACTGTTTTTCAAAAATATTGTAATGCAATCGGATTGAGTCATACTGCTACGGCACAGTTTTTGTTTAGAGAAAATGTCGATTGCATATATTTTATCATAAGGCCACATAGCACTTGGTTAGTGACAGGAAGACATGTTTATCTCACTTAAAAAGCTTTTAACAAGCATACAATTTGAAATTGTAATGCATATGCACAGCGAATTTAAGTAACATTCGACACGTTTTTTCAGTGCCGAGCAAGTGACATTTTGAAGCATGAAAGTCAGGCCTGGCACGGAATTTATAATGTATGCTACAGGGCATATGGTACACCATTAATAGTGTTTTAATATATGTCATATGCCAGCCACAAATTCTGATTGATGTTGCGTGTAAATAAATTTAAGCTCTTCCAACTGCTGTGACCAGTGTCCTCATCATCTCCCCATTAGCAGAAGAGTTTAACAAATTAGCCCGCTTCTGTTGGACATACATTACGTCATCAAATGCAGCGGGGCTCTATAATGAAGACAAATAGGTTCATTGCAGAGGTTTTCTTTTGCAGCAATGGTCATATCTGAAATAATTCTCATCAGCAGCAGGGTTTATTGTCAAAATAATTTAATTTAAAAAGAACCAATGACCCACCATTTCCAACAACAACGAAAAGGATGCATTGCCATTAAATGAACATACTTCCGGGTACGGAAGCCACGTTGATAGAACACGCACGCTGTGCGGCATTGCTGCATCTCATGTTAATGGCAAAACACAGTCTGTTCTCCTATAACGCGTGTTTTCATAACGTGAATTTTATATAACACGATGAATGTAGTGGGGAACACATGTTTATAACGCGGATGCGAATTGGATACAATTCGACTGAGTGAACGGAGCTACGTCGCACGAGTAGGATTAAGTGGTTGTACGGTTGCCTCGGCGTAACATCACACAAGGCGGTGGGATGCTGCTGGATGTTTCTAGATGCTACCCACGCACATCAGTCTTTGTTCAGGCTGCATACGCTTCTCACGTGTTCGTGCGGACTGTGCTTTACCCTCTATTCTATATTATTTATTATAACGTGATTTTCCCAGAACGCGGTGTTTTTCAGACTTGCACGCTTGTATTGTAAATATTTTCACTGATGATTTGTGCCATCATTGTGTCAAGTTGCTTCTCCAGTCGTGAATTGATCTTCTACCAGTGGCAGTAATAAGAAGCCCTCGCAGCCCTAATCTGACACATTAATCTCCTGAAACATCCAATTAAGGCGCCTGCAAAGTGGTTTTCTGCTACCCAGGCCTCCTCTGACGAGGCGTGATTTACGTTATGCGTTGCAGATCGTAGATCATCGCCTTTGCACGTCCCTATGCAGTAATGTGCGTCTAATTGATAAGTGCTTATGTACACTACCGTAGATATTTTGGAACGTCAGTTCTGCAGGACTTGGTCCTACTGGTGTGCCGTTTAAACCTCAGAGATGACACAACACGAGATGGAATTTAACAGTGGCACGAGCAGCCTCTGTGGTTCCTGTCTAGGATTATTTTGTAGGGAAACCACCCAGGAGCTAAGAGGATATCAGAGAGGACTAAACTCCCCCCCCCCCACCTCACCCTACAATGAGATGCCCTTTTGTTCAGAACTAAATTTAATTTCGATTTAAAGCTTTCGTGACTGCAGGGATTCATCTTCTTGGTTCTTTCGGTAAAGTCACATAGAAGGGAAGTAATAAAATAATAAAAATACAACATAATAAAAACATAATAAAAATAATTCTCACGACGTTTCGGCCACAACGCAAGCAGCCGTCCTGAGGACGTCCTGAGGACGGCTGCTTGTGTTGTGGCCGAAACGTCGTGAGAATTATTTTATTATGTTTTATTTTTATTATTTTATTACTTCCCTTCTACGTGACTTTACCGAAAGAACCAAGAAGAACTAAATTTAAGATGAAAAGTTATATACCTGTATTTCAAAACAACACCACAGAACATACCTTTGAGTTGCAGACTTGTCGTTGCGGTATTAACAATATTTAACAGCTCCATCTATTCAGTAGTCATCCTCTTCCACTCCATCGTTCATCTCAAACTACAATAAAATCTTGACTTAAAGCTTTCGTGGCTGCAGGGATTCATATTCTTTGGGTCTTTCGGTAAAGTCACGTAGATAGGTTCAAAGAAAATAACAAAAAAACTACGACGTTTCGATCGCAACACAAGCGTTCGTCATCATGTGTTGTGATGTGTTTGCGATCGAAACCTATCTGTGACTTTACCGAAAGACCCAAAGAATACAATCACCCCCTTATAGTGATGTGTCCTGCCCTAACTCGTGAATGTTCTACGATGCATGTGTTCCTCTTGCTGTCTCTCAATGTAATTCTAAACGTGCGTCTCTCCACGTTTCTGCGCGCATCTTTCAGCTTTTGTTTAATTTTGTATGTCAACGTCCTTGCTTCTGATCCACGTATCATAACAGGTGATAAACACGTATTTTACCGTTTTGTTGAGGCACATTGGTATTTAGAATTTCACTATTAAGGTCAGTTTTCCAAAAGTACTCAAACCCACACCACAATCTGATTCGTGATATTTATAAATATTATTGAAAACCCTTTAAAAAAATGGAACACTGACACTGAGATTTCTTGAAGAAAACACCAAAAGTAACGAAACATTTTACATCAGAAGGGGAATCAGACACGGAGATACACCTTTTAACAAAGTTATTCATGGAGACAACGCGATTTTTAAAAAAAAATTGCCTGGATAAATAAAGTAATAAACTTAAAAGGAAATAAACTAACCGGTGGTATTTGCTGATGACGTAAACGTTATAAAAAGCAATGGAAATTAATTACAGGATAATATCTAAGAACTTAATGAATAATGCTGCAAAGTGGGGCTCAGGCTAAATCTGATTAAAACAAACCCATTGGAGATATCTGTTGGGAAGGAAACAATTGGACAACACAGCAGTTTTTTGTTAAAGTAGACGAGGATCAACAATGAATACATTGCCATCATTTTGCAAATAAAATCCACCTCAATGAATTCCCTCAAGAATGTTTTAAAACAGGGGCTATGTGAGAGGTGCTAGTTAAACATGGCATGAAGTAAAACAAGGCTAATTTTCATCTGCTACCGAATTATACTGTTTAATTGCTATTTGGACTGATTTTAAATGCGGATTTCTATAATTTGTAACCAAATTAAGGTTGACCTTATGTTTTTTTCATAATTATAATTACCTTGGTTTGGATTGGGGAATAGGTTACGTAATATGTATGTAAGTACCAGATAAAGCAAGCAAAGTGGTTTGTTTCTTTTGCTGGATGAGCTCAATGGAAGGTAATAAACACATTTTAAATTAACATTATTTGTTTTATGTATAATATAGTACTATAATATTCCAACTTTTTCAAATGTTGTGCTATGTTGTTCCTGTTCCAATCACGATGTGTACGTTTGCCCGAGGCATACTGCATGTTAAGGCTGCACACAGTGACATCGCGCAACATTGCACGACTCAACTGCAATGCAAACGTGCTAATGAAGGCAGCGTACGACGTTCAACATCTTTAATGATTCTAGATTTGAAGCTTTCGTGACTGCAATGATTCATATTCTTAGGTTTTTTCGGTAAAGTCACGTAGTTAAAAAAAACATTAAAAAGTAAAATAAAAAAAATCACGACGTTTCGGAGGCAACACAAGCTTCCGTCTTCAGGTGGTACCGTCACAGCCACGACGGCTGATACAGCCGTCGTGGCTGTGATACAACTGTCGTGGCTGTGACGGTACCACCTGAAGACGGAAGCTTGTGTTGCCTCCGAAACGTCGTGATTTTTTTTATTTTATTTTACTTTTAATGTTTTTACCTACGTGACTTTACTGAAAAAACCTAAAAATATGAATCTTAAATGATTTGTGCACTGAGCCATCCTCAGGAGAGTGCATGATGATGTTGATGATGGTCATGATGATGATGGTCATGATGATGATGGTCATGATGATGATGGTCATGATGATGATGGTCATGATGATGATGTATATGTACAGTCTCCTGGCTAGGTAACCCCTTATTCTGAATGATTGTCGTCTTTGTGTTGATCTTGTTTATTACCATATTGGACAAATGAGATAGATTATTGCACGTTTTTTTGTGTCCCCTATGTAAATGTGTAGACAATTATAGATGTCAGAATAGCCGCTAGTTCATTGCACCTGGCAAACATTCATTTTTGACCGTGATTCAATGCTTTACACACAGTTAAAAGAGGTATGCCGTTGACAATGGGGTTCCACTAAACATTAAGTGCCTCGATTAATCTGGCTTGCTAACACGTAGGCACATTATAACAATTGTTACATATGATAAGATAAACATCTACTTAGTACAATACTTCCAATTGAAACGCATCATCTGTGAAAACTTAAGAATTTAATAAAGCACCTGTTCTTTTTTACATTAATTTATCAATAAATAAAATAGTTTCCCAAATGTATAGAAGATTATGGTTTTCAGTTGTATTGCCATCTGAAAAGTAAAATTGTATCATAATAAAAAAACAACGGCAGTTAATGTGAACCATATATAGACGGAGACGTACAGACATGGTACACTTTGAGCAGTTAGTGTGCATATTTGCATCATTAGCGAAAAGTTATTGGTCACAGAGAATAAAAAAAATTGGGTTGATTGCATGTGATGCCTTCTCTCACCATAGGTCGCAAAGTAATTATAATTTTTAATTGTCAATATGTATGGTAGATTACTGATTGGAAGCTGGCCTTGTATAATAAAGAGGCATCAATTTTGTTATAATAGCCTCAGGCCAAAAACAGAAAATTACAATGTGAAATATACGTTCACTGATGATAATGGATGTGCTTTTGGTAATTAAAAATATTATATATTTAGTGGTTTATAAAATAACAAAAGTACGATGGAGCGAGTGATACATTTTTTAGAAGGAATAAATAACAATGATTTAATCTACAAAAACCTTCAAAATAGTAGAGAATAATTATGTATAGGAAATAAACAGGAAATAAATCAACAGTCTGCCTCAGCAGCAGACCACGCTTTCCCATCTGATGATGGACGCTTGTGTTGCGCCCGAAACGTCGTGATTTATTTTATTTTACACCTACGTGACTTTACCGAAAGATCTTCTTGGTTCTTTCGGTAAAGTCACGTAGAAGGGAAGTAATAAAATAATAAAAATAAAACATAATAAAATAATTCTCACGACGTTTCGGCCACAACGCAAGCAGCCGTCCTCAGGTGAAAACCAGGTCCGTCGAGGCGACAGAGTCTGAATGAAACAGCACACGAGCTTGGAGCATATATATAAGCTGGGCGCCTAGACAAAGGAATTTGCATATCAAGAGGAATTTAGCATATTTATGGGAAATGCAGGAATGTGATTAGTACTACATATGCATGTGCATTATGCAGGATTAACAGCATCAAAGGGAGCTGCAGTTGCTGCTGCTGCAGTTTCTACTGCTGCTGCAGTTTCTGCTGCTGCTACAGTTTTATACATTTGGGAAATTTACCGAAAGAAGCAAAGACTATAGGAAATAAATAATCAGAAACATACAGTTTGATACAAACCTGCGCTGGCATTTGCCACATTTCCATTCTTGACGCGATTAGTGGAACTAATTGAATTACAAGACCATAAAGGAAAATATGCTCTGCTCTCTCGACCGCAGAAGGTCGCTCGCACACCCATTCTAAGCACACGCACATCTAAGGTACACAAACTGGTACTGAGTGACACACATTTCGTTCCATTTTTCTACGGCAAGTGGCCCAGTCTTTTACAGAGGTCCCACAAATGAGTGCATATTTTAACTGCACTGGGAGAGATGAGTCTTCCCCTCCAAGCCACACACTCTACCACTGCACTACCAGCTGGATGACTTTGTGACAGTTGCAACATTCAAATATTAGCATGCAACTACGTTTTGTATGTGCTTTATCTAGATGACACAAAGTACTTGTTTGCTTGTCTCTTGAATTAACTGTCGAACCATACATTGTCTGCTGACCTGTATATGTCGCGTAATCGTAGCATTCTGCATGGATAAATGAGCAAAATACTCACTTATGTATGATTTGGGAAAGTAATGTACGACTTGTTTCGTCCTTGAGTGTCGATCAATTACTAAGAATCATCATCCTTATTGGCATTGAGCCCTCCCCCTGGGTTCTTCCTGAAAATGTACCGTGAGGACTGATGATAAAGCCAAAATAATGCGGGATCTTACCATGTGTGTAATTTAGAAGACATCATCTCAAATCCGATTACATGGACATAATCCGCAGCACAGTGTGGGGAGTTGACAGAGGTAAACATGTTGATTTAATAAATAAAACTCCCAAAATGAGTCAAACAGTTTGATTTTGTATTTGCCAATCTGTATTATTAGAATTGTATTTCAAAATCCATATTCTTATATCAGGATATGTTATCTGGAAAATGAGGTAGAGATGGCTATGGCACATGTTGGACGGAGGAACTCTGGGTACTGGACACCCAGAGGTCCAAGACCAAGGAGAATAATTAAAGACAGATGGTGGGATATGGTGAGGGCAAACTTGGGAGATTGGGTGTCAACATTGCAAAAGCTTAGGGATCTAGCAGATGGAATGCAGTGATGGCAAGGTGTGTTTACGTAAACAGCATTGGCGTCCCTTGCCTTTTGACACTGTTTCTTCTTTTGCCTCCACAGCATTGGTTAAATGAGCTGGAGATCTTATCTATGATCTTTGCCGCTGCAATCCATGACTACGAGCACACGGGCACCACGAACAACTTCCACATCCAGACACGGTACGCAGCAAACAGGGCAGCAGCATGACACTCGTGTGCAGCATGGCACGGTGCCTTCTCCTGCAGCGCTGGAAGGGCCACATCTCTAAAAGAAGGCTGCAGTGGCGAGATGTTCACTACCTTGTCTGTTATACAGGAGTGCGTGGGTTCGATATTTTCCCCTGAAGCCTGCTGGATATTTGGAGTTTGCATGTTCTTCCTGTGGCTGCGTGGAGTTTTATCCGGGTCCTTCGGTTTTTTTCCCCTCCACATTTAGAAAAGTGCGTTGAGAGTATTTTGGCTGCAATACATTACAACATGATAAGCCACTTCTGCTTTTTGTGTTTAATTGTATTGTCCTTCCCACGCACCTCCGAATAACGTGATTGGCTACTTATATTGTGAAATAAGTTCGAATTACATATATATTTCCGTGAGCTATAATTTGTGGCTAGGTTGCTTCTGAGGAAAGAGCTATATAGCTCAGTGGGCCTTACCTGGTAAAATAAAAATAGTTAATAGCTTAATAAATATTTTTCTACTGTACTTTTTCATCTTGTACATAAATTATATATGTACACACACACTTCTTGCACAGCAGGCAGAATAAATGTGCGCCAGTTAGATTAACTATTTAGTTTTTTGAGCAAATGCGTGTTCAAAATCTCCCTGGTTTTAGTTGGCAGTTGTGAGATTTTGTGATTGCATTTGCTACGTGAATTTGTAAGCTCACTGAGGGCACACGTCTTTTATAAGGGGAAAGCCAAGAACGAATATATCATCCTATAAAAATGGTGTAAGAAATTTTAATTACACAAAATCATGTAAAAGGTTTAAGAGATTTTAAATGTTGATTTGAAGCCTTCGTGACCGCAGGAATCCATACTCTTTGGTTCTTTCGGTAAAGTCACGTAGGTAGAAAAATTAAAGAAAAAAAATATATATCACGACGTTTCGATCGCAACACAAGCAGTCGTCTTCAAGTGGAAAAAAAATATCCAGCAGTGGAACTGCTGAACCAGCGAGAGAGCTGTTACAACAAGGTGTTGCCATCGAAGCGTCGTGATATATTATTTCTTATTTTATTTTTCTACTTACGTGACTTTACCGAAAGAACCAAAGAGTATAGATTTTAAATGATACGAAACATTAAAAAGTCTAAGGTTATGTAATGTATTGTACATATAATATAATTTAGTCTACAAATTGTTCAAAACAAATGTTGGCAACATCATCATAGCTCAAGGACATGACTCATATTATAATTACCCAAGGTATGGAAGAAATATATTTCTTACACATTGCTGTTGGATGCACACGGGATAATTGTATGCAATTCAAGAATTGTATGCAATGTATGCAATACAAGAAATGTATGCACGACTTTTGGAGGGCATATAAATGGTATATGTAGAGCAAATACATCCAAGGCATTTGGGAGCAGTTATCATCATTGCCTCCTGATAACAGCTTGCTCTTCAACTGTCCTCATCTTAATTTTTGTTGTCACAGTCTTTCCTAGTTTGGAGGGTATTGTTACACACAAAAACATATCCTTCTTCCAGTAATGCACCTCCCAACACTGCATCATTGCACATCCCTGCTTCATATATGTTAATATCAGTAACCCAACCTTGTGATATTTGGTAGGGATGAGCCAGTGCTTTATTAGATTTCTGTTGGTCTCATTCATGGCAGGCATACAGTATTAATTCTAGATTTGAAGCTTTCGTGACTGCAAGGATTCATACTCTTAGTTTTTTTGGTAAAGTCACGTAGGTAAAAAAGGAAATAAAAATTAATACAAATTAAATAATAAAAAACCATGACGTTTCGGAGGCAACACAAGTCTCCGTCATCAGGTGGGACCGTCACAGCCACTTGATGCAGCAAATCTGGCTGTGACGGTCCCACCTGATGACGGAGACTTGTGTTGCCTCCGAAACGTCGTGATTTATTATTATTTCATTTTTATTAATTTTTATTTCATTTTTTACCTACGTGACTTTACCGAAAAAACTAAGAGCAGGCATACAGCATTCAGAATTAATGTGGGCTAAGAACTATGGCATTCATTCCGCGAGGTAATATCTGATGAATCGGCCCATTGGGCCGAAGCCTAAATGGCTGCACTGGACCAGCAGCTGCAGGCTTGTGTGAGCCTCTCTTGTGGTTAAATGGCTGTAAAAATCTTTACAGACTATTTTCAAAAAAAGTGTTCACATTAAAAAAAAAATTATTCCTTAAGAATAAATCTTCAGGTTAATTTTGTTGCGACTTTATTTCTGAAAACACCGTAGCTAAAACATATGCTTTTGCTTTGCGTTCTAAACTTGCAGTACTTGTATTAATGCATTCAGTCTTAAGTGAAAGATAATGGGCCCAGGCTTGAGAAATCACAGCGCATTGATTCAAATGGGGGGCACTCGACATATTTGAAGTGCCCTTGCTTTTGAATGCAGTAATCTACCATATTAAAGACATTAGAGAGCTGCATTTAGCCTTTTTCCCAGTGCTTCTCCAATGTGGGCCAATAACGGCTGGAGGATTGCTTGAATTCCATTAAAGCTGAGCACCATTTTAAGTTAATGATTTTTTTTCCACTTTGACACATTGCAGCTGCTAGATCATTACCAATACGTCCCAATGGCTCTCCTGGTCAGCTTGTGAAGATTTCATTCCCACTTCTTAAAATGGCCCTAAGTAACCATGGAAATCACTGGCAAGGTCACACAAATCCCGTAAATTATTCCTTACCTACCTCATGAAAAAAAAACAAATTATCTGTCCGTATACTGCTGTGACCTAATTTACACCTTTATAAAAAGTCAACCAGAAGATTCTCCAACAACACAGTACTAAGCTTCAGTAAAAAAAAAGATGCATTGTGAAGTGCAATGCATGTAAACGAACGTGGTCATACTGCTCTGCAACAAATGTGTGAAGTAAGTGTCCTGATGTCATTCTGTAAAGGAGAAAGACTTTTGTGCGGAAAAATATATAATTCATACCAATTTACAGTGTAACTGAGATGCGAACTAACACCCCATTAAATCTCACGAGTGTTTTAATATAAAAAGGAGAGAAAATCATAACCACCTTCCAGACACAATTGCTTTAACTGGAACAGATTCGGTTCGGAGCAGTGGCAGTCACTCATCAGCAAAATCTGCAGTCACAGGGAAACCAGACTGAGTGACGCACATGGGTAGATTACCCAAAAGCCATACTTTAAATTTATGAAGCCACTAAAGCATAGAAAAACAAATACTCTAATTGCATTTATGTTGCCATTCATAATTCGTAGTATTACATTCCATGCAGCGTTTTAAAATAGTTGCCTGAAAATGCAAATACCAGTTTAATGGTTAGAATGTGTTTTCATCGTAAAAAATGATACAACTGTCTTAACCTGTTTGAAACCCGATATATTAATCCAGAAAAGTGGAACTGTAGCAAGCAATTCAGCTCACAATTGGTCAGTTCAGGAGTTAATATCTAAGTCAGCATGGACAGAGGCAATTATCAACAATGGTCATCTAATGGAGAGAAACCTGAACAAACACCTTTGAAATATGGGATTTTAACCATTTGAAATGAATATCACCCCATGGAATTTTTTAGCAAGGAATGCATTTATATGTGTATTAGGGATGTCATTACTTAGAATGAGGACCATGGTCACGACCGCTAAACATATTTTTTTATTAGGCTACATTTCACGGTGATGCATAATTCGACAACAAGAAATGTCAATCTTAAAACAGATCTAGAAAAATAAGGATCACCCAAAAAGCATATACAGTATATGTGTTTTCTACGACATAGAGATCGCACAGTACTACCCCCGTGTCTGTGCCTCGGCTTTCTTGCAGGTCAGACTCGGCGATCCTTTACAACGACCGCTCAGTGCTTGAGAACCACCACGTGAGCGCTGCCTACCGCCTCATGCAAGAAGACGAGGAGATGAATATCCTTATCAACCTGTCCAAGGATGACTGGAGGTGAGACAAGATCTCCATCCTCAATGTTATCACTAAATGAATGTAAAGTAAAACAACTTTAACTTCAAAGATATTTAGGGATTTATATATTTTTTTTAACACAGAGGCTTTTTGCCAAACTATCTGATGCTGCCCCTTAAAATAGATTAAATTAATTATACTTTTAGGGCCATGCGTGCACTGGAGAAACTCAGGTGGATATATATCAAAGCATCTCCGATTGGCACGGTTTGCTACGTACGGTGCGAAAGAGTGTTCAACATACATGGCATTTTTATCCACCGGTAACAGAAACAAATGTAGCAGCATTTTTCGATTTAAAGCTTTCGTGACTGCAGGGATTCATCTTCTTGGTTCCTTCAGTAAAGTCACGTAGAAGGGAAATAATAAAATAATAAAAATAAAACATAATTAAATAATTCTCACGACGTTTCGGCCACAACGCAAGCAGCCGTCCTCTTCACCTGTGGACGGCTGCTTGCGTTGTGGCCGAAACGTCGTGAGAATAATTTTATTATATTAAATTATTATTATTTTATTATTTCCCTTCTACGTGACTTTACCGAAAGAACCAAGAAGATAAATGTAGCAGCATTTACAGGTTTCCCTCTCTTTGTGCGGTAGTTGCGTTCCAAGGAAAGGGATGCACAAAGTGAAACCGCACGAGACAGCTGCCTACTCAGTTGCATCTACAGTACACACACACACGCGCAATGTTACCCCATCTCCAACCACATCGCCACATATGAGTGAGTTCAAACTGCAAAGAGATTCTTTTGGGTAGAAATAGATGCGAAATTGCACAAACTGAACTTGCATAAAGCGATGGAAACTTAAATTTCGATTTAAAGCTTTCGTGACTGCAGGGATTCATCTTCTTGGTTCTTTCGGCAAAGTCACGTAGAAGGGAAATAATAAAATAATAAAAATAAAACATAATAAAATAATATAATAATATAATATAATAAAACACTTTTAATTTTATTATGTTTATTTTTATTATTTTATTATTTCCCTTCTACGTGACTTTACCGAAATAACCAAGAAGACAATGGAATCTTGTACTTATTTTCTACAGTCCGAACTGCTCACACTTGCAAAATGATATGCAGGGTGCTTCAAATTTGTTTTAAAACTTCTGAGAATTTGCAACAAGACCACAAGAAATGTGCCTCTGGGCTCTGGAGACCTCCTGGAGAAGATTCCAGGCACGTGTTTACAATGATGGCGTAAAAGTGGAGACTCTTTGACTTTGGGAAGCTATTAACATACATTTGTTATTATGCTGCAGTGTATTATCTGTTCTTTTTCCATTAAAAACAATAGTCCCGTATAAGTTTTTGAAAAAAAAATTAAGCACCCTGTATTTACTTTGGGAGCCGTGGTTGTGAGATGTTATATCCCTCGCTTGGTACACAGGAGGTTGTGGGTTCGATCCCGACTCTGACAATGCCTGTATATTTAGAATCTGCATGTTCTCTCCCTGTGGTCACATACATTTTTCTTCAGGTCCTCCGGTTTTCCCCTCCACATTGATAAACATACATTCAGATTATTTTGCTGCTACTATAAATTCCCACATATTCAATCAATCAATCTTTATTTTGCGTGCCAATATCGCCTTCAATAAAGTAGGCATCAGTGCGCACTTTAACAAAACAAGAACGGTATAGAGGCCATATTATGATAAACCACTTCGATGCACTATCATGTGCGGCCACGTTGCCTGTGAAAAATTACCCAAGAGCTCAGTGGGCTTTACCTGCCCAATGAAATATAGAATGATGACAAAATTGCACGAAGTGGTAACCGTCTTCAATTTGAATTGAATAAGTGCACACTACTGTGGGATGAATACGCTCCACAGTGAACCCTTTTAACTTTGTAAGCCACCTATTGCGACAGCAGCCAAATGGGATCCCTGCAGGAAGCATTGGCCGACATTTTAACGCTCCATTAAACATTATCATCTGGAGGGACAGTTTGCGTTGATGCCGCACTATCTTAGCTGCTTTAAAAAAAAAAAAAGTTGGTAAGCTCTAGTTGCTTTCATGTCAGATGTCTTTGGAATATTGACTTGACATGTCCTCTAGAGATATACAGCATTTGGCAAGAGACTAATGTTCTCAGATGAGCTTACGATGGCTGGAGCAAGAGCCTGGACAGCCACTAATGTGTGAACGTTTTAGGACATTTGTTTACTATGACAATTTCAATGCTCTACGGTAATGGGTGTTTTCTTGTTTGTGTTTATTAGAGGTTCGTTAATGCACATGTCTACGGTGAAATAAGTGGTAGCCAAAGAACGGAACGCGTCCAAAAGGATGTCCACCGGGGAGATGGAGCGATTAATTCAGCTCGTGCAGGGGCGAGGTGGATTGTTACATCGTAGGATCGTGAGAGATGGCAGTGGCTTGGGGAGCCCTTCATCCAGCAGTGGACCGAGCATGGCTGACGATGATACTCCCAAACAAAAACAAACCACACACTGTACAGTTTACATATGTGGAGTATGTTACTATAAATGTTACTTTGCATTGCCTTGATGTACCTCACTAATAATTATATTCCCCTTTAAAATGAAATCTGAGTGAGTGTGTTGTGTGCTCGGGCCCACTTTATAATGGGCATGCCATTTTGAGCAGCTGTTGCTGTTGTTTGATGTCATATGGTGCCTGCAGTGGATGAATCCATTTTACCTTTTGGTAAATATGACCCCTTCAGAGACCGGCTCATCAGCATCCCTTTGTTGATTTGTGAAATTATCTTTTTGATAACCATCTCATGATTGGAAATAAATACCTCGGGAAATAAAGAGTTCACTTGTTTGCCTGAGGCTTTGTTTGTTCAAGAGTCACACTTAAAAAAATAGTTATATGCAAAGATTATAAAAAAAACCTTGAATAGATGAGATGGTTGATGAAGATGTCAGACATTTCTTTATCTAGAAATAAAAATAGTCGGTGTTGATTAATCCTGTTTCCTAATTTTCTTAAGCCAAGCCTGCACTTTGTAGAGGTATAAAACATACTATTACAATGGACCTTTTTTAGCAGTATCAACGTATGAAAAAACAAGAATAGGTTTTACCCTTTCTGGCAATAAAACAGGTGTTAAGATGACAATAGGTTTTTCCCCTTTTTTCTGGCAACAAAACAGGTGTTGAGATGTTAAAACACCAAACTGAAACCTTTTACAAGGAATCATGTCTGCATTAACCACAATGCTCGTGGTCAGAATGCAAACAAAAAGCATACTCTGATAATATATGCATATATATGCAGGCTGTATGCCTTTTGGCGTCCTCTGGTCTAACACAGTTTGAGACGAGGCTCAAAAGAAAGCTGTCTCTGGTGTGGACCAATCAGTTTCAAGGACAATGCATATATTATCAGAGTATGTTTTTTGTTTGCATTCTGACCACAAGCATTGTAGTTAATGCAGACATGATTCCTTGTAAAAAGGTTTCAGTTTGGTGTTTTAACACCTGCTTTGTTGCCGGAAAAAAGGGGAAAAACCTATTATCATATTTTGGTACTGGCAAAGGAGGTCCCATGATGTCGGTGTTAAGATGTTCGCTTTTTGGCTTTCTCTGATCTGACACTGGTGAGACTAAAGAAGGCTGTCTCTGGTGGAGACCAATTCGTTTCAAAGACAATGCATATATTACCAGAGCATGGTTTTGCTTGCATGTTCACCACAAATACGTGTGGTTAATGCACACATTCCTTGCAAAAGGTTTCTATTTGGTGTTTGAACATCCTAACACCTATTGGAACCTCATTTGCCAGTAAAAAATATGATAATTGTTTTTTACCCTTCTATCTGGCAACAAAACTGACACCTTTTTTTACAAGGAGTCATGTTTGCATAGACCACGAGCCTAGGCTCTAAGGAAAGCTGTCTCGCGTGTGGACCAATCAACTTCAAGGACAGTGCATACATTATCAGAGTTATGTTTTTTGTTTGCATTATGACTGCTGGTATTGTGGTCTATGCAAACATGACTCCTTGTAAAAAAGGTGTCAGTTTTGTTGCCAGATAAAAGGGTAAAAAACCAATTATCATCTTAACACCTGTTTTGTTGCCAGAAAGGGCAAAACCTCTTCTTATTTTTGTATTACTGTTTTTAATCAGAGTATATTTTCAGATCTGACAAATAGTTAAATCAGTGAAAAATACAATACAGTGATTAACTATACGGTATAATCATTCAATATTCAACTTTGCCAAAACTCAGTTTTGGCAAGAGTTGTGTTTTCAAGTATTTATTACCCCGTGTCCCTGGGGTCTACTGGCAGTGTGTATGAATACACTTTGGCAGAATAATTTACTACCTTCTGCTGATACTAACTAATATTGCTTTTCACTATAGCACTGACTTAGGAAACACTTCAAAGCGGAGTAAAAGTCCGTACTTTTTGCAGTATGAGGCCTTTTATTAATTCTTCGTAGTCCACATCGATTTTGGATTGTCGTTCAAATTATTATATTTAACTGCTCACTTGGAGATTTGTTTTACAAGTTGGTCAATGTGATCCGGTTATTTGAGTTTCAGGTTATTATTGATTTGTTACACGGATGGTCCCGTTTTTGCCAGTTTTCTGGCTATTTTACTTGGGAGATCAGTGGTGCGTGAGTACAGCAAGAGTAAAAATATCAATATGATAGAGAATGAGTGCAGAGTCCTTAAGACATGTTGCACAACTAACAAACAAGATATTTGACGGTTTTAATTGAAACAAATGAGGCACCACATGACCCATATTTACATTTGGAATTGTATTTTCCAGAAATCGTACTGCTTTTAAACTATTTTCCAAGTGGTAATTTAGCATCCTGGAAGCAGTTGTTTTTACGCGATTCTTTAAGTTTAGAAAAAAACGTATATCTGTAGTTGGGTAGCATTGTCCAGATTGCTGCTCTTAGTCAGATTACCACTTTTATTTTGTTAATGGCATTTTAAAGAATACTCCCCAGGAGTAGGTGTTTCCTGCTGTGTTTCCATTTAACCATCCAGCCTCGGGTGTTGTTGTGCATTTCATTTGTTTTGCTTTGCTGCTGCATAATAAGAAAGCACACTTCATGCCGCAAATGGTCACGCTTCAAATGTTCACGCTAATCTGCCAAAGACCTAAGAATCGACAGTGGGATAATTCCTTTGAATGGGTGGTAGAAATGAGCATCCACTCTAATAGACTCTCTGATTTATCCTGAATAATGGCATCCCTTTAAATCGCCCATGTCTGCCTAGGGAGTTGCGTGCCTTGGTGGTGGAGACCGTGCTTGCTACGGACATGTCCTGCCACTTTCACCAACTCAAGTCCATCAAGAACCTTCTGCAACAACCTGAGGGGTGAGCCACCTTACACACCTCTCCTGCTGCTGTTGTGGAGTGGCTCATGCAGCCAGCTATGGCTGCAGGGTTCTGGTAGTACATGCTGTTTAGGCCATTTATTGTGAAAATTCCGTCACAGTTCCTATGATTGCTTTTTCATTGCTTTCATGGCTTTATTTTGGTGATTTCGAAAAGTGTATTGGTTTAGCCATGTTTGTTTGTTGTAGTACAGAGTTAGACTGATGGCCTTAATCTAAGTTGTCTTATGGTTGTTGTTGTTGTTGTTTGACTTGCATCCCACTGGGATTTTTGCACACGGCGTTGGTGTACGGTGTTTTTTTCTGCAATATTTTGCTGTTTTTTCTTGGATTTTCTGTTTGCACTTAGTCACATATTCACTTTAAGATGTTTTTTGTTCATGTTTTTTGTTTGTTGCGGTTGCACCCGATTCAAGAGCCGAATGGCTCACAGGGCTATACCTAATAAATGAACTTGAACTTGAACTCTCTTCATTTACATCTCAATCAGTGCATGGATACACATCTTCATTGGACTCCTGTTTTCCCGACATCGCTTGTGTTTATGTCCATTTCTAAATGTATCTATTTTACAAATTGCAGGTGTTCTCTTACAGATGCTTGCTGCATTAAAGGAGATTCTGATTTATTTCAACAGCACTGCGATGAAATTCCTAAGCTCTTTTGAGGAGGAATGTACACTTGTAACAACCATACCGAAAAATAGGTGTGATCACTGCTCACATGCAATGCCAGAGAAAGAGTTTTAAAAATGTATTTTGATCCAGCATGTGTTTGTTTGCCGCTATTACACATCATGGTTTTGTTTGGAGATATTATGACACAACTCTCTTGAGTTAAATAGGGTCACATTAATAATAATAACAATTAGTGTGACCTTTTGTCAAGCAACTGCCTATTGTGGGCCTTCTCACACTATCTTCGTCACGGGTTTTCTTTGATACTGTACTCTGCAACACTCATCAGTGTGGCTTTGTTAAGGTGCGGGGACCAGTATCAGTTTGTATCTCACTAGCCACAGTATGGATTATTTATTTGTCGACACTTTCGACAAAAAAAACAGGAATAATACGAACTATGGCTACACATGTTCCAAAAGACCGATAGCACGTGCTCAAATATTGGAGTGTTCTCCAGCGCTGACCTAGGATACAGGAATAGATAGGAAAAACTCACGACGGACATTAGCCATAGCCAGGAATGAAAATCAGGTCACCAGTTAAATTTCGATTTACAGCTTTCATGACTGCAGGGATTCATCTTCTTGGTTCTTTCGGTAAAGTCACGTAGAAGGGAATAATAAAATAAAATAAAAAATATATAATAAAATACAATTCTCACGACGTTTTGGCCACAACGCAAGCAGCCGTCCTCAGGTGAAGAACAGGTTTGTTGGAAAGACAGCGTCTGAATGAACACCACCAAGCTTGGCAGCCTTGACAAGGCGCCCTTCCTCCCCTAACCCAGCTTAAATATACGCTGCCAAGCTTGGTGGTGTTCATTCAGACACTGTCTTTCCGACAGACCTGTTCTTCACCTGAGGACGGCTGCTTGCGTTGTGGCCGAAACGTCGTGAGAATTGTATTTTATTATGTTTTATTTGTATTATTTTATTATTTCCCTTCTACGTGACTTTACCGAAAGAACCAAGAAGAGGTCACCAGTTGTTTACGGTGAGATGCGCTAACCGGTATCTAAAGTGCATTTCCATATGGTACATGAAATATATCCAGCCTATGTCCAGCCTTTTCCATCCAATACGCTGAATGTTACTTTCTAAAGGGATCATTTGTTTTTTGCAAGGTACACAATAAATATCTGATGCAGTTAAATGTAAATGTTATCCAAAGCCTTCAGACATGTATATTAATCTATATACTGTATATAGCAGTGTTACGTGTGTGTGTTTCTAGCCAAACATCTCACAGAGTTTATTGTGAACAATCCTTTTGCTGTTCGATGATGTTAATGGGTTGAGAATGTGTGGGAAGATGAAGGACACATTCAAAATTGGGGGAAGAGAGCCTTTAATGGGGAGGTCGTAATTTACGGGAGTTGCGAGAGGTTTTGGAGGTTCAGATGAACTATGCAAATTCCTTTGTCAAGGCGCCCGGCTTGTATATATACTCCAGGCTCGTGTGCTGTTTCATTCGGACTCTGTCGCCTCGACGGACCTGGTTTTCACCTGAGGACGGCTGCTTGCGTTGTGGCCGAAACGTCGTGAGAATTATTTTATTGTGTTTTATTTTTATTATTTTATTACTTCCCTTCTACGTGACTTTACCGAAAGAACCACGAAGATGAACTGTGCTGTAAAAGGAAAGAGAAAGTTAGAAATGTGAACATTTTCCACTGGTTTAGCTCATGGGTTAATTGAATGAATGAATCGTATTGCATGCGATCACACTGTATTCGTGCGCAATTATTAAAATAAGCAAATGCTTTCAACACATTTACATGATAATCTGCGATTCTATCATAAACGTTTTCGGTCAGCTTTTCCGACAAACACATCCATTGAAGTGTTAAATTTCCCATTTTAAAGTAATGCAAATATCAATAATGATCACTCAACTGTAGCTTTCATAATTCAGCATTATTTAACATTTAAAAATTAATTAGGTAGAAAACCAGCTTTGATGACATATTTCAAGATTCATTTGCTCCTTCGTTGGTGTGGAAATAAAGCCAAGTAAAATAAATTGATATCAATCATAAGTCACGTAGGTATAAATAAAATAAAATACGTAGTTATTTTATGTTATATATTTTTATATATAAAATAAAATACGTAGGCATACGGAGGTATTTTATTTTCTACCTACGTGACTTTACTGAAAGAACCAAAGAGTATGGATTCCTGCAGTCACGAAAGCTTCAAATCAAGATTGATATCAATCATGACCCGGCAGCTCTTAAATTATGTTGCCGTGTTTTTTTATCTCCATGTCTGTCTCATACCAAGTGTCCTTCTTTGTCACCGTAGTCTCTATCTGTAACACCATTGTTTTATTATTAAGAGCAACACTTTAATTTTGAAAAGCCCATTGTAAAGAGTGCTGACAAATATTCAAAATAAATATAAATTTGAGTCATTGCCGATGGGTGCGTTTGCCATAACAGACAAAGCACCTGCACATTCGTTCAGTTTTATTTGGGGATGTGGACAAGAGTAAGATTCAGCCATAGGCTGCTTTACAAGAGAGGCGCGTGGAGTACCGTATGAGAGAAGTTACATTTTTAGCATAGAGAACAACAAATAATGGTAAATACATAACAACAATAATTAATTAAAAAGTCATACGAGGTGCACATACTACCGTATACTTCAGAATTTTGAATACTCAGCAGATAACCGTTGTTCTCACTTTTCATACTTTATTTTCACATCGGTAATACCGTAATACACATTCGATATTACGTAATGTTATTTACCAACTCACATTATCATTCTTTATGTGATCAATCTGTATACGGCAAGGCCGTAGCCATGGAGTCAACATTGGGGGGGACCAAATCTTCCAGGGGGTCTAGGCCCCCCCCCCCCCCAGAAAAAAATCTAAATTTGAAAACAAATTTCCTGCCTAACATATAACAAGTAAACCCGTAAAAACAAAGTTTTTCACTCTAAATCCTTTATAGGCGTGGCGGCTAGAGACCTCTCGTCCTCTGGCTTGAGATGGCTGCAATCTATGGGTCAGATGATTGTCTGCCAGTATTAAGCAATTGGTAATTAAATATTTAATTTTTTTTCCCTAAACAATGTAAAATTTTAGAAAAAAATTTCACGAAAATTAATTGTCACACACAACGAGTCTGTGTGGAAAATGTCAGCTCGATTGGATCACGGGAAGTGGGTTAAAAAACGAGCGAAAGATTTGCACAGTCCTAAGCAAGCAAGCGAACTTAATATAAAGGATTTAAAAATATATTCGCCTGTGGAGGACGCGGGGATTGATCCCGCGACCTTTGGCATGGGAAGCGAGGGCGCTACCAACTGCGCTACTCCGCCACGGCCTGTGTAGGGGTTACGCTCTGGGCTCTTACACTCTGACGTTCAGCCAAAGGCATGAATGCGTTCTATTTGAATATATGTAAAATCATTTTTTTTTGCCTAAAAAGTGTAAAATTTTGGGAATTTTTTTTCACGAACAATAATTGTCTGGTACAACGAGTCTGTGTGGAAAATGTCAGCTCGATTGGATCACGGGAAGTGGGTTAAAAAACGACCGAAAGATGTGCACGGTCCTAAGCAAGCAAACAAGCACGCAAGCAAGCACGCGAACTTAATATAAAGGATTTAAAAAAGTCACTAACACATGAGATGGACTTTTTTTTTTACAATAATGTCTAATAGTGTATTGAATTACATTGCTCTGTTTTTTTCTTTTTTACCTTTTCTTGTTTCATTGTATGTAATGACAGAGATTAGGGATTCATAAAGTACAACCATAACCACAATCATATAAACATAAATTTATGCATTGTTATATGAAGACAAGTCCAGATATTGTGGCCAAGGTTTAGCAAATTTTTGTTTTTATTTGCATAGCATAGAATTTTTTTAAAATATTGTTTATAGCAATATATTGGGGGGGGGACATTTTGAACATATTTGAATATTGTGGGGGGGGGTGTGTTCCCCCCCAATATTTCTTATAATTACGGCCTTGGTATACGGTGGTGCATCGTAAACACGCTGTCCACGTGTGAGCAGCCATCTTATTCTTCCAGACTCAATGCCAAGCAGGATCAAACGTCTGCATTGGGCGTTTGCCACATTCATTATCAAACATACGCATCTGTCAATCCTCTCTTGTGTTGTTATCGTTGGCTGCAGTTTAAGAAAATACTAAGAGCAATATTCATAAAGATTCTTGCACAATATTCTTGGTTCTTTCGGTAAAGTCACGTAGAAGGGAAATAATAAAATAACTCTTGCACAAGCTTTATTTTATGTACCTGGAATTAATATGATGA